TCGAGAGCTTGTGCAAACATCGTTGAGACTTGTTGGCAGCGTGATTTTGTATAAATTCTAGACTCGACTTCTTGTTGTGCTGCATGATTTGCAAAATGAATGCAATGCCGGCGACCGGGTCTTCAAGTCATGGGTCTCGTCTGGCCTGGTCTGGGCATGGGCAATGGGGCTTAGTTTTGCCGTTTGTTGGTAATAATTTGTTACTTGTAACGAGCTCCGACTCGCACGCTTGTTAACAATTAAATAAACAATATGAGTCGCATTTTTAGCTCGAGAAACAACAAATCACTAAATAAACATGCCATATGGTCGGACGGACGGGCGAGTGGCGATCGGGGCCAAGACAAACACAAACATATTTAGCTACCACTTTCCATGGACCTCGGCTGGACGACGACCACTTGAGACATTTTCTATATTTTGTTGTCTCTCTCTCTCTCTCTCTCTCTCTCTCTCTCTCTCTCTCTCTCTATTAAACGCAATATTTATGCATTTTCTGTTTAGCTGCGAAAGAGGCACGTCGAGGCACGTTTGTTATTATTTCCAAGCCATTTCCCATGAACACATGTAGAGAACTGCGAGTACTTATTAGTTGGGCTAAGTTCGTAGGCAATCATAGAGGGCGAACGGCTATGGAACCAATCCAAATGGGTGACTTCTATGCCACTTGATACTGTAGCAACAACAACAACGAGAACAACATGAACGGCAACGGTAACCATAATAAGGGCGTGTTGTTGTTCTTTTTAGGCCATCCCAAACAAATGTTTTCATACCTTGGATCCACTATAAAAGTTGAAGTGGACGTGTTTTTCCTTTTACCCATGCTGCTTGACTTCTTTCTTTGGACTTGTCGTCCATTTTGGTCACGTATTTAAATGGGCGAAGTACATGCGTGTGTACATATGTATATTTATGTAGGCTAGCGTGTATATGTATTGTAAGCCTTTAGTTGGAATTGAAAGGTCTGCACATAATTGATTTTCACTAATCGAATGTAAGTTCAATTTCTACCCAACTGACCGAATCAATGATAAGATCTCGATTATTGCTCATCCCTAGGAGTAATCGGCTATCGATAGGATGCGATCGTTATGCAACACTGACAAGGAACGCTGTAATCGATAGCTGAGCTGAGTAATTGAGAATGAGAATGCATTGCACTATTTGCTACGCCCACATTTCCCTATTGTATTTCGACGTTTATTTTTTTGGGGGGGGCAACAACAGCAACTATGTACAACAACACTTGGCATTTCCCCATTTTGGCAGCGTTATTTACTTAATTATTTTGAAGTGCTTGGCAAACAGTTTTACACGAAAAATGTTTCAGGCAGCAGCCAGCAACAGCTACAATGAAGCCCCTCCCCTTCCCCCCAAAAAAGCACTTGAGCGACGCGCCCGACTGAAGGGAGACTCGTTTCTGGGGGTTGACATGCAGCACAAAATGTTATTAATTAAAACGTCATTCATTTAAAAAATAACAACAATGTCGGACAAAAAGGACACAGACAACGATTTGCAGCTGCCGTTGACAGTTTTGCTTTGTTGCCCTTAAAGCTTTTGCAGCACGAAAATTCGCTTGTTGCCGCCGGACCACACGCATCTCCTGCTGGCTGCAGGAGCTGCCCACAAAAGCCACAAATATGTATGTCATTTGACACTTGCCACTTGCCACTTGCCATTTGCCACTTGTACTTGGCTCTAGCTGCTTAAGCGCCCTTCACTTGAGGCGACGCCCAGCTTGGCCAGCTGTCAATTTTCGCCTGAGTTCTCACACAGCATCATCTTTTTTTTTCTGCTTCGCAAAGACCGCAGAATGTTGGCATCGAGATCGACATCGACATCGATATCCAGAGCTGACACAGTTTCCACTGTTGCCTCACGTCAGGTGGCAACGCTGGTCACGCAACGCTGCCCCGGACTCTTGCTGACTCCAACTGGCAGCTGTGCGTGTGTCATCAAGTGAGCAATTGTCTTGAATTAATTTCTGCTTCATCACACAGCATCATGACAACCCTTTGCCACTTTCCCCTTAAATTTTCACACCCTTTTGCAGTTGATTTGAGTACATCAGCAGCTTCCACGGCTGGCGACCAGCAGACGCCGTCAAATTTAATAAAAATCACTGATTTTGATTGATGCGCCTCTTGGTCAGCAGTTGCCCATTGCCCATTGCCCATTGCCCATTGCCCGGTTTCGGGTTCCAGCAGCGTCAGCAAATATTGGCGGAAGGGTTGACATGTGACATTTCGATGTCGCCCAAGTGTCGCTCCAATTGAAACAAATGAAGCACAAAAGAACGAGGAGGGGGTCGCAACACGACAGGAAAGAGCAGTTGCAACTTGTCGACGCCTCATCAGCAGCTCCAACAACAATTTATTTCCATCTGTGCAACATTTTGTTGAAATTTAGATTGTGAAACTCAGTCAAAATTTGGCTCTGCCTAGGTCTAGACCTATTTTTCAGCGTAGAGCGCAAATGGTTTCTTTGTGCTAAGGAAAGCTCGTTGATTTGCCGTGCTATTAACTAATAACATGATCCACCCACTGAAAAGTGAAGATCCTGGTTCGAACCCCCGGCGAGTGCATGCTTAAGTCGAAGGCCAAAGCTATTCAAAAAGGATTTTGTAACCAATACAAATTTAATTAATAATATTTATTTATTTCTAATTCATAGCCTTTCTCTTTTTTTTATTATTACAGCTAGGCCACGCCGTTTGTCAAGCGCTGGCAATTTGACGCTGTGCAGAAGAAGAAAATCCTTGAAAAGAAAATTCGGCTCGCTCCAAACGCTTTTAGGAAATAAGCGAATCGCGCCGCAGGAGCGTGTGAAAGAGAGAGATAGAAAAAAGAGACAACGCAGAGTTGAAACTCGCACACATTGACAAAAGCTAACAGCTTCGCACAACAATGAAACACATTATTAGTCTGGCAACGCTGCTGCTGCTAACGGCCGTCGCCCGGGCGGACAGCCTACAGCACATGACGGACAACGGAGGAGGCGGAGGCCACATGGGCATGGGCTCGCACTCGCACTCGATGGACGTGAGCCCGGCGCCCGGCTACGGTGTGCCGGTCATACCGAAGGATCCCAACTCGCGCTGCGAGGAAATCACGACGCCCATGTGCCGCGGCATTGGCTACAATATGACATCGTTCCCCAACGAAATGAATCACGAGACGCAGGACGAGGCGGGCCTCGAGGTGCATCAGTTCTGGCCGCTGGTCGAGATCAAATGCTCGCCGGATCTGAAGTTCTTCCTGTGCAGCATGTACACGCCCATCTGCCTGGAGGAATACCACAAGCCCCTCCCAGTCTGCCGCAGCGTGTGTGAACGTGCCCGTTCCGGCTGTGCGCCCATCATGCAGCAGTACAGCTTCGAGTGGCCGGAGCGGATGGCGTGCGAGCACTTGCCGCTGCACGGCGATCCCGAGAACCTGTGCATGGAGCAGCCATCCTACACGGAGGCGGGCAGCGGCACGGGAGGCGGCGGCGGCGGCGGTGGCAGCGGTTCCGGTACCGGATCTGGCGGCAAGCGCAAACAGGGCGGCGGCAGTGGTGGCTCCGGTGGCTCCTCGGCGACGGCGAACAAGTGCAAGGGCAAGAATTCAAAAAACTGCCAAAATCCCCTAGGAGAAAAGGCAAACGGAAAGGAGTGCACGTGCTCGTGCCGCTCGCCGCTGATCGTCCTGGGGAAGGAACAGCTCATGCAGCAGTCGCCCATGCTGCACCATCACTGGTACATGAACCTAACTGTGCAAAGGATCGCCGGCGTGCCAAACTGCGCCATACCGTGCAAGGGTCCGTTCTTCACCAACGACGAAAAGGACTTCGCCGGCCTGTGGATCGCCCTGTGGTCGGGCCTATGCTTCTGCAGCACCCTCATGACCCTAACCACATTCATCATAGACACCGAAAGGTTTAAGTACCCGGAACGTCCCATTGTCTTTCTGTCCGCCTGCTATTTCATGGTCGCCGTCGGCTACCTGTCCCGCAACTTCCTCCAGAACGAGGAGATCGCCTGCGATGGACGCCTGCTGCGGGAGAGCTCGACGGGTCCGCACTCGTGCACTCTGGTCTTTCTGCTCACCTACTTCTTCGGCATGGCCTCGTCCATTTGGTGGGTCATCTTGAGCTTCACCTGGTTCCTCGCCGCTGGCCTCAAATGGGGCAACGAGGCGATCACCAAGCACTCGCAGTACTTCCATTTGGCCGCCTGGCTAATACCCACAGTGCAATCGGTTGCCGTGCTCCTGCTCTCCGCCGTGGATGGCGATCCCATTCTGGGCATTTGCTATGTGGGCAATCTGAATCCGGATCATCTGAAGACGTTTGTGCTGGCACCGCTGTTCGTTTACCTCGTCATCGGCACCACCTTCCTCATGGCCGGCTTTGTCTCGCTCTTCAGAATTCGCTCCGTAATCAAGCAACAGGGCGGCGTTGGCGCCGGCGTCAAGGCAGACAAGCTGGAGAAGCTCATGATACGCATCGGCATCTTCTCGGTGCTGTACACAGTGCCGGCGACAATTGTCATCGGATGTTATCTGTACGAAGCGGCCTACTTCGAGGATTGGATCAAGGCCTTGGCTTGCCCCTGTGCCCAGGTCAAGGGACCCGGCAAGAAGCCGCTCTATTCCGTGCTTATGCTCAAGTATTTTATGGCTCTGGCCGTGGGCATCACGTCCGGCGTATGGATCTGGTCGGGCAAGACGCTCGAGAGCTGGCGCCGCTTCTGGCGGCGACTGTTCGGTGCGCCAGATCGCACGGGCGCCAATCAGGCATTGATCAAACAAAGGCCGCCTATTCCGCATCCGTATGCGGGCTCCGGCATGGGCATGCCCGTTGGCTCGGCGGCGGGCTCTCTGCTGGCCACGCCCTACACACAGGCAGGCGGTGCCTCGGTGGCCTCCACGAGCCACCACCATTTGCACCACCACGTTCTCAAGCAGCCAGCGGCCAGCCATGTATGACATGGAGAGTCGGGAGGAGCTTCAACCATGGGTGGCGGCAGCGTGCTGGGTGGTCACGGCACACTGATGAGCACGGCGGGCATGAGCAATAGTACGGTTGGCGGCGGCGGTATGTCTGGCATGGGAGCTCCTCCTGGCAGCTTGTTACAAGGCGGTGGCGCCAACGGCGGCCCACCCGTCAATGTCTACGGCAATGTCAATGGCGGCGGCGGCGGTGGCGGCGGTGGTGGTGGTGGTGTTGGTGGTGGTGGCCAGAGCACAGCGCCTGGTTCCGTTATAGATTCGCGAGCCGTCTCTGTGGTGGTAACCCTGCCCGGCGGACCCGGCTCTCAGCATCCGGGGCAGGCGTTGAGCGACTACGGTCCCATATAGTTAATGGTACGCCCGGACACCGCGCACTGGGTCTCAACGAGCAGCTTTAGTCAGCTGTAAGAGTGCAGTTTCCCCTCTCACCGGACATTCTCTCTCCTCTCTCCCTCTCTCCCTCTCTCTCTCTCTCTGCTTACCAATCTCTGTCACGCTCTCAGTGCTTACCTGTCACTTTCTCAGAGGTTTAAGAGCAATGCCATATTAATATTTGTAGCTGTAGTTTGTTTAGAGAAAGGCGCAATACAGATTTTAAACTATTTGCATAAGATTCTAGTCCGAAAACCCTTAAAATATTACCAACAACAACAACAAAGACAAGAGCGAGCGAAGAGATCGAGAGTGGAAAAGGCTCTCGAGCAGCACGAGAAACCGGACGCGCGTTTGTTCTGCAGCCATTCGAGCGGCTTTTCTTTGGTTCTTTCCAATAGTTTCTTCAACGAAATAGACTGAGAAAACGAAATACCAATAGTTTGCATTAAAAACATAGAAGAAATTCATACAAAAAAAAAAAGAGAGAGCTAAGCGAAAAGCGAAAAGCATAACAACTCTGCCCCCACACACTGCCAAGTCAGAGCCACGAGCCATATTTCGAAATTACAAGTAACTTTTAATCAAACTACCTAAAAACTATTAACCTTAACCTTATATATACGTATATATACATATATATATATATATATATAAACATAAACATTTCGAATTCGCATTGAAAACTGTGTGAGTGCGTTTTTTGGGGCTGTCTGTCGCTGCATCGAAAGAGAGAGAGCGCGAGCGCACAGTGTTGCAAAAGCATTTGTAAATTATTTAATCTAACTTAAGCCATTATCCAGCACTATTTTTTGTAAATATTTTCAAATTGCGCTTAGTTTGTAATCGTTTTTTTTATAACTTAACATCCTAAACTAAACCTAAAAACAAAACAAAAAATACATAAAAGTAATTTGCATTTTAGCGTCAAAGGCAGCGCTGCATTTAAGCTCAAAAACTGAATTTAATTTTTACAAAAACTCCTCCCCCCAGTATAACAAAGAAATGAACGAAAAAAAATAAAAATAAAAAAAAAGCAAATTAACAAAATTATGCCAACTTCGAATGCAGCCAAATGGAGGGCATTTTTGCATTTAAAGAGCAAAGGAAAATTGTAAAAAGTAAAAAACTTGATCTAAGAGTATCAAATAAATGTAATTGTTAGTTGTAAACAAAATCCAAAACAAGCAAAATATCTTTCATGCATTAAAATCTATTGTATTTTTATTTAATATTTAATATTTGCATATATGCATTTATCTAAATATATATGAATGGAAAACCAACAATTTAACTGTTGGCATTTTGAAACCAATTTCACATACGAAACAAAAACAAAAATCATCTAATTAAATATATATTATAATATATAGCAACTTTATATGTAATGTTTTAGTAACTATAACTATTTCTATAAACGGAAACAAATAAAAACCCGAAAAAATTCAACAATTGTAATAAAAGTTACAACAAAAAAAAAAGAAACATCCATAAACTTATGAGTTCTTGTTTTTGATTTATTTTGAGTTTTTGCGTAAAGTAAGTAACTTTTATTTCAGCTTGGAACCTTCAACGAAGTTGTTTTGCTTGATTTGTTTATTTATTTTATTTGTCCTTCTGTTGATATTTAGCATTTTGAGCCTTTACAAGAAACCCTCTACACTTATACGTATCATAAAAACGAAGCTCTCCAAGTTAAGCGAACAAAAGAACAAACGAAAACCAAAAAGTAAACATTAATTAGCAAATTTCTCTACATGACGTACAATGTTTAATATACTTACATACATATTGAAAACAAAAACAATAAAAAATACGCGTACTATTCGATGTTGTTAATAAGCTTAATAAACAAAATAGAAAACAAAATAAAAAATGAAATAACATTAAGAATATTAGTAGTAGTACGTTTAGTTTGGAAATGGGAAATGTTTAAGGTATTCTGCAATGGGATCTTAGCATTTCGACATTTAAAATTTTAGTTTCGGGCGTAAATAGTTAACGCTTTTATCATAATGAATAATAATAAAATATATACTATATATTAAAGGCTAAAAAGTGTAACGAATATACGTAAACGATATGTCAAATGGCGAATGTAAAAAAAAAAAAAGAAAGAAGAAGAAAAATAACGAAAAAACGAAAAACAGATTAATATTCTTAATCCATTTTACGTTGATTTTTTGTGATTGAAAATTAATTTTCTAAATTGATGAACATAAATTGATTGCAATTTGCGAATGTATACGATTTTTTAATTTTTTCCAATGAAAAATGAAAAACGAAAATTAAGATTAAAATAAACAAATATTTCTCATAACGGATTTGGGTTCAGATCGAAGAGCGTGGAAATAGCTGGGTGATTGATGGATTAGTTGAAGTTACACAGAAACCAGAAACTTGACGTCAAGTGTAGTTGTGAATTGTATTTTGTGAAAAGTAATTTAAAAACATAAATAAATATTAAAACAAAAAAAAAAACAGAAGAAAAATTATATATACAATGCATATTTATATATATTTAAAAAAAAAAACGCAATGAACGGCATAAAATACTTTAACAATACAAATAATGCAGATATTATTTTATTTACAAACAAACAAAACATTTTTTAAATCAAAAATGCAGTTAAACAACAAATAAATAAAAAACCGTTGTAAATTGTGCAACGATTTTGATGCACGTCTAAAATGTCACTAAAATTCGTTAAGTACAGCAACAAAAACAACAATATAGCAAAAAGCAAAAAACAACAAAGTATACAAAAACAACCAACAATAGACGCAAATAATATTAAATACATTTGTAATTGACAAAAGGAAACCATTTAAAATAAAATCTAACATAAAAGTTCGATTCTCATCCTCTGCTTTGGGTTGAGGTTTCCCTTGCCGATTAATGGAATGGTCAATGGGCTATTAAAGGTGATAACGGTCGTACCTTCCATTTATTAGCAATGCTGAATAACATTTACTTCCAGTCCAGAACATTAGAAATACGATTGACACACGAAATTGATTTTTTATGGACTCTAGGCGTATTCCATTTAATATAATGGAATTGGGTTCAAACCTTGGTTTTCTTTTCGAAAATAAAGCTCATTTTCTTGGAAAATTATCCTAAGGACCTTTAAAAGATTCTAAAGACCTCCACGATTACAAAACGGCCGTCCGCGATCGGATTTCAAATACTCGAGTTATGGCCATATACAATTTTCGGAAAATCTAAAAACTTGAATATCTCGGGTATTTTTCGCCCGATATCGGAGTGATATACCTCTTTCGACTCGTACGGACCAGGACCTTCGATTCGCATTCAAAAATCCTGATTCTGGGAGATGTCCAAAATTGACCAAAATGGCAAGGGGTTACATCACGTTTTTCTCAAAAATGACTTGGTCTTGGAATTGAAAGTTTTTGATGTCAATCGATTCTAAGGACCTCCACGATTACAAAACGCCCAATCTTTCCACTATCGGATTTCAAATACTCGAGTTATGGCCATTTTAAATTTTCGGACAAATCCTAAAACTTGAATATCTCCGCTATTTTTTGCCCGATATCGGAGTGATATACCTCTTTCGACTCGTACGGACCAGGACCTTCGATTCGCATTCAAAAATCCTGGTTCTGGGAGATGTCCAAAATTGACCAAAATGGCAAGGGGTTACATCACGTTTTTCTCGAAAATGGACTTGGTCCTGGAATTGAAAACTTTTAATGCAGATCGATTCCAATTGCCTCCACGATTACAAATCGCCCAAACATTGCCACTATCGGATTTTAAATACTCGAGTTATAGCCATTTGAAGTTTTTAAAAAAATCTTAAAACTTGAAACAAATCATTTTATAACTTACTTAATTGCCCGTTGTGCTGAAAATATTGTAAGCCAATAATATTTTCATATACAAAATACGGGCTACATTCAATCTCTACCCAAAATTGGCATCTACCAAATATGGTTAGATATGCAATGGTCGGGTCCAAAGTCATTTATACTTTGGTTTAAGTTAATTTTAATTAAAATGGAAAACGTCAAAGGATTAAACGGATTCAACAGTTATATTTTTGGATATTTTACAAGCGTTTCATTGTAAACATAAATAGATTAAACTTATAGGATTATCCAATTGAATATTGTAATTGAATAACCCAGTGACTTTCTTATTTGTACGTAAACTCGTTTGGATACACTGTACACATGGAAGATCTCGATGCAAGCCTATATTGCTAACAAATTACCATGTTAGTATTACTTCTATTGTTCTTCTGTCTTATATCACACACAGATGTTTGGTTGGTTTTGTTTTTTTCTGTTTTCATAGTGTTTCGAATCAAAAATTATCTTTGAACTTAACTAAACTTGTCAGCTGCGCGTATCGTCATTGTTGGATTAGAAAAAAAATGAATTCACTTAGAAGCTGGCAGTTGGGTTATTGAAATTTCTCACAGTACGTACTTTAGGGATCATGCTTTGGCAAAAAAAGAGGAAGTAAAATCAAAATACAACAAGCTAACAACATTTTGAACTAAACTACAAGATATTAAAACAAAACACCTGCAAGTTCTATGGCGCATCATACTATTTCATAATACTAGATAGGCTTGTGTAGCCGCTATTGCCTTGGGTGGGTTCCGCGCGACGTTTGCAGCAGCTGCAGCAGCAAACGCTTCTCATAATATCTAGAAAATTGGTCTGCTCAAAGTCATCCAAATTGTTCATGAATACACCAGAGCTAATGTCCTCGGCGGTGCGAGTGCCCACAAACGCCTTGAGATCGGAGATGGGAAATCCATCTTTATAGTACTTCTTAATTGTATCGTATGCGTCCATAATAACAGCTATAAACAGTGATAGCACCACATAGATATATAATGAAATGAAAGAGTACAAATAAATCTGACAGAACCACCACAGCCAGTTGGCCTTATTGGAGAGGGTCGCGAACGTTGCAAACATGTCGTCGCCATTGATCAGCGAAAACAGGCACTCGGAGGTCGTTGCCAACGATCGGAACTTCATGTGATAGGGCCCCAATATAAGCCAGCCACAGAATACGAAACCCGCATAGATCAGCAGAGCGGCAATGAGAAACCGAAGAATTTTCGGTGCTGCTTTCTTGAGCGTGAGTATTACAACATTGTAGGTCTTGAAGAAGCCCAAATAGCGCAGCACACCAAACCACACCAGCATATTGCCAATGCCCAGAAATAGCGAGCAGGTATCCCACTGATCCACAACCATATAACGGCCTTCGATTTGTTCCTTCAGTGCCGAACCAATGATAAGCAGAACATCATTAAAGATGATCATAATGTACCTATAAGGTAAATAAAACATTAATCAAATGAAATAGAATAGATTCCATGAATTTTACGAACCAAAAGTTAATAAACTCCAGACGACCATCAAAGCTGAGTTCTTTGCCGAAATGTGAACGGAAGAAGTTCTTTGTGGTGCACTTCAGCAAATAGGCTCTCCAGAGCGCGCGAGTGCAGAGGGCAAAGGATAGGGCGCAGGTCATTAGCACAAAGATATTAAGAATACTTCTCAATATTGCATCGAAACGCGCTTCCGAAATGAAATCCGTGTCTCCCTTGCACTTTAATCGCGTTGCCTCCGCATCAAGGGATAACAGCACTTGGCCATCGTGATCCCGATTGTTAAACAGTATGGATACGTCGAACCTAAAGCAATCGGGAGCAGACAACGCACCGCCGTTGGCCTTAAAATTGACAGTTTTGATCTTAAACGTCAGCTCGGCTGTTACCAGCGATGCGAAATTGACATCCACACCCTGATCGCTTAAATATTGCTGCACACCAATGCTGGAGACATTTGGCGGCAGTTTCTCGCACAGCTCATCGATATGCGGATCAAAGATATAGGATTCATTAAACCCAAAAATTGTGCCCTCACGATAGTTTTGCATGCACAGCGTCAGCGGTGGCATAGTATTATTCGACGTGGGATAATAGTAGGGTCCAATGGAACGACTCATATTGCCATACCCGTCCACCGCAAACTGAACCGTATTAAAGAACTCGGTCTTCTCATACAACGCAAAAGGTCCCACGGCGGGCGGATAGCTCTCAACTTCGCGCGACGAGTCCCAACCCTTGAGAAACAGGTGCGAGAATGCGATACGATTATCCCAGGTATAGTTGATGTGATTATAGCGCGAGTGAGCGAACAGGCACAGCTGCATGGTCACCAGAATAATCTTCACAATCTATAAACGATAAAAATGTGGTACAGTAAGAATTGTAATTCATTCAAATTAAGTAAAGCCACATAATGACTCTGCCAATATGCGGTTATTTACAGAGATTACGGAAATGTGCGGAGAGTAAAATAGAGTATGTAAATATATATTCTTGATCGGGTCGTTGGGCTAGGGCAATGTTCTGTCTGTCTATTTGTATATGGTAAACCTAATTTGATTTCACAAGACCAATAACAAACTTTTAAAAACTAATATACTATAGCATATGTACATATAATCTAGCTAAATATCTTATTTATGCGATTAAGCGCATTCAAGCGTCTTGCTTGTTATCTTTTATAGCGCATTACAGACGATGCAAGGCCCACGTACATATGTTATGCATATAAATGGGTACTTAAGCAATTGATTAGTTCGCTTACGTAAACCAAAATTAGCGCCAATTATTCGTGGAACTATCTCTGAGACATATTCTATTTTGAAAAGTGGCGTTCATATTTATATCTTGATAAGTTTAAATAATTGGCTGTAAATGCTGTCTATAGATACGACAATTGTTTCGTTCTGTCTACGTCAGAATGTCATATCTTAATAAAATCTATATTAGGCTTTGAACTTTTGCAACATTCAAGAACAACAACAATGCAGACCAACTATTAATCATGCCCACAAAAAGACACTAAAAAAATCCCCAGTAGAGCTATGTATTTATCATGTGGTTAAGTAATTCTTGAACAGTTCGCCGTAAACACCCAAAAGTTTAAAAGTAAGTGTATTACGCAGTTTTTATAGTTAGACCGCCCAGATAACGGCAAGGTAATGTGTGTGTAAGCTGTGCTATTGTTTAAACAAAAGGTAGATAGCTGCAATGTTCTATAGCTGCCCGATTTAAGTGCCTTGGAATTACACGCAGAACGTTAAGCAAACATAGCGTATTAATTAAAATTAATAGAGACACACAACAAACTAATTTTCTGGCTATTGTTGAGAGATGTGTCATGCAAACAGACTCGATAAACCAGCTAAGCATTCGGCCCCTTTGCATGGGAATTGAAATTCATATCACGTGACAAAGCCCAGCCAGATGAGCTGCTGGGAGATATGTTCATGTATTTGTGCATATGTGTAAGTGGACTTTACCTGCACCACAAATTTATAGGGAAACTTTCGTCGGGCCTGCCACTTTTCTATGGGATTCATGAAGAAAAATTGAAGTTTGCGTCGCATGCGCTCCTCGTTGTACGATGAGGCCGAGGATGTGGCCGCCGGAAACTCCGGCTGCTCCACATGACCCTGTGCTGTTGTTGGGGCTGTTGCTGTAGCTGATGTTGGCGCCACCGTCACGACAGGCGTCGACTGTAGCTCCATGCGTCGCCGCAAGATCCTGGTGTTTACATACTCTTCATCGCTTTCGCAACGGGAGTTCTCGCCGCTGCTGGGCGTATGTGGATGGTTTTGTGCAGCCTCATAGCTGTCCGTACGGCGTTTGACCGTTGGAGCTGCAGCAGTAGCAGCAGCAGCTCCAACGCCGTAATTTTGCATTTCAATGTATTGCACTGGCTGCGTCTCGAGGTCGCAGGGTGTTGCGTTGTTGCCTCAGTGTAGAGATTTTCCTTTGCTGTGTTCGCTCCAACATGCAAAAGAAATTCCACACTAACGCAGCAGGCAAACGAAACTTGGGTGTGTATATATAGATTGTTTGAGGCGCGTTTGCGACGACTTTTGACGAAATGATAATAAATACTGCCAAATATTATATATATACGCGAATTGCTTTGTTTTCGTCAATGTTGTTATCGCCCCGATAGGTCGATATTTTGTAACCAAACCCCTCGATACTTTTGGGTCATTGAATCAAAACGATACTCATAGAGCCAATACTCTATAGTATTTGGCCTTATCGACAATAATGGTATTCCAGTGATTGAATAAATTTTGTCTCGTAAAAAGACGAATTATTTAAAATAATTATTAAAAACAAGACACTTTAAAAGCATTGCTTTGCAAAGAAATACAAACGATCAGCTGTTCGCATATGTATTCTGTATACCCTAGCAACACCATTCGAGTGTTATCGATAGGTTGAAGTCACGACAAAGCGCTTAGTAGTTGAACTCGTGTATAAAGGTAACTACAAATGCTTTTCGAACATATGCACAAAATTAATCGGTATCGATTAACCACCACAAATTGGATATTTCAAACGGAAAATGTTTGGTTTTCAACCTAGTGCTTCTGCCATTTAAATGGATTTTAATATTTCAACCATCATGGAAGAATAAAACTAACAGTGCCTGAATATCCTCGGAATAGGTATGTACACAAATAGATCCATTCGAGCAACCCCAGCCAAAGAATTCAAGATAATAAGTTAAAATGACATGCTTTATTTTGCTTAAATTAAAAATAAATAACCTTAATTTAAAATAAATATTACAACTAAGCAAGTAAATAAATAGATTACATATAAAGCTCAAGCTTAAGCACATGATCCTTTACTCTTTATCGACACCTCTGAAAGAAGGTAAAAGGAAAAATTATATAAATAAATTGTTAATAAGATGGTCTCAACGTGCATACCAATATTTAGGCAGGATGAATAACACTCTAGCTGTGATTCGCCCGTGTACATATATCCATCAGATCCACACACAATTTCATCGTTTTCATCATAGACATTTGCGCAAATTTTTTCACAATAAGCTTCGTTGTCCTTTGGAGGAGACTCGACTGGTTGTATTGGTGCAGGCTCTTGCTCTTGGGGACGCTGGAATACATCAAGAAAATGTATATGCATATGTTATAAAAAGTTTAATTATAACACTGTTTGCTTGACCGGTGATTAACACACAGCCCAAACCGTAAGAGTTAGGCATTTGAATTTTTACTGTAGCTACCTTGTTTCCATAAAATCTTTACTACTCTTTTTTGTATGTATGTGTGTATGTGCATGGTATGTGTGTGTCTATGCATGTATGTTGGTACACTTTGCTACAAATAAGGCATTTTCAACAACGCCTTACTATGCGATTCTCATGAATTCAAGTAAGCCTTAAAGGTCTCATGCTTCGAAAAGTCAACAAGTTGTTTGATAATCTTTTACTTTGTTTATGCATGTACTTGTGTATGTTTATACGTTTATATGTATATTTATAAATTCGTATATATGTATAATATATATAAATATGTATATGTGTTTATATGTATATATGTATATAGTATTTATACTTTTATATAAATAGATCTATTATATATTTATTTATTTTAATATGCAAAGCAAATAAATATGTATATATTCACACTTTAAGTAGCTTGTAACTTAGTGAAAGTATTTAGGAAATTAGTCCAAAGTGGTTGATATTCGGCCAAAGTAAAGCAGATTTTGATCTTAATGTCACTAAACTTTGATTGATATCAAATTGCCTAGGCAGGTAATAATTTAGAAGAAAGTTAATCTACTGCCGACACTTAAAATGGAGCGTTTGGAATTCGTTAATAGTGGAAAGTTGCTGAGTTCTTCTCACTGAGATATTGTGTCCAAATGCTTATCTGATAAACCTGATGTCAGAAATAGCTGTTGAACTCTTTTATTATCTGGCGAGTTTTGACACGAATGAAAGTAACCGAAAGAGAAATAAGAGAAATATATTGATTTCTGAGCTTACCTTGTGGACATATTCATGGCTTTCCTTAGACTCGCCGACAGCTTCCGTAACTGGCCTTGGACGTTCCGAGATGCTGGGTGTGACGCTGGCCGTGGATATGTGAGGTGCCGATGTGTGTGTTTCATAGTAGAGCTTGGGTCCTTGCGGCGCATTAGTATAGCTGGCCGATCCTCGGATGGCATCTCGTTCCGTAAACTCGAATCGCAGGGGCTCTGGTGTTTCGGTCTTGTGGGCACTGTGCCAAACATGAGAGTAGGTCGATGCTGGCGGCACCTGAGTTGTTCGAGGTGTCAGCGAAGTGGACAAAATATGCTTCACCGACTTGTTGCCATCCGACTTGACGACAAAGGCATTCTGCCCTGCCTGATAACTGCCACGCACCACAGCCGAGTCGGCCGGAGCCGGATCCTGTTGATAAAACAGATCCGACACTCGCAAAGGCTTGTTAAAACTGGAGGATACACTGCTATCCAGTCGCTGCTGCTGCTGTTGTTGAAGATGTTGCTGTTGTAGATGTTGCTGCTGTTGCTGTTGTAGATGTTGCTGTTGTAGATGTTGCTGCTGTTGTTGTTGTTGTAGGTGTTGCTGCTGTTGCTGCTGCTGCTGAAGGAGCTTCTGTTGCTGGTAGTTTGTTTGGTCACGTTCAACGTCCTGCTGTTTGTAGTTCGGTTCGCGTTTGGGCAGGAAATAATCATTGGTGCTCATGAAATGCAAATAGCTCTCAGCTTCTTTGGACAGCTTTTGCGGAACTGCACTCTGCTGATAGCTGGCAACATACTGAGCCGCATTCTTGGCAGCTGAATCGGGCTCTTCATAGACAGCATAGGTATTCGTATTCGTATTCGTATTCGTAGCTGGTGCTTGACCCAATTGATTAGAAGCTGGTTTGCCCGCTGAATCACCATAGTTAGCCAAATATTTGGTGGACTCGACGGGTATCGCATATTGCTGGATCGGCGCATACCCTGGAAATTTGGTCTGCTCGTTGCCGCTGTAATGCGGCGAGGCCTTGAAATTCTGCGTGTACTGGTTGGCATGGTAATTGTATTGGGATGCTTCCTTGGGCCGATAGAACTGGCTCTTGACCACATCCAGCACTGGAGCAGCATCCTTGGAGTGGGCAAATCGTGTGCCCGTATTGCCACCATTATTATATGGCCAATTGCCATTGAACTCGCGTCGCATCAGCTGTTGTCCGGCCAGCACTGGAGGCGGCAGCGGAGGCCGCCAAGCTGGTGGCGGGTGTAAGCTGTCGGCACCTGTCCGCACACGTGGGATTTGCACAGGACCTGCCCGTCGATTGGGATTGAATTTCGGCTGGGGCTCCCTTAAGAACTGCATTAGACGCGCACTGCGGGACGCAGTGCTGAGCTCGAGTGTCACATCGTGTTTTTTACTCTCCACTTGAATCAGCTGCACGCAGCCCAGGAGAAATATCACCTTGACAATGGCTGGCATTGAGATTCCTCTACTATGCCAGATAGTTGGCTCTTGTCTGTACGAAAAGTCGAGCATCGAATATGTTGCGCGGCGCGGTATGTCTTACTGCTGCGGCTGTCGATCAGCATTTAATTCTCCAGTTGGCCAGTTGGCTGTCGTCTGTCTTCTTCAACTTTTACTTTACTTTTACTCGAAATAAACAAATTCCAATTTTCTTAAATTTAACACACACACACATGCACATATGCAGCTTTGTGGCGAGCTTCTTCTTTTGTTTCGAACTGGTTGTCTGTTCGTTAGATACTTAGATTGATCTCTCTATTGCGGTATCTATCGGTGTCTGAAGGCGATCCGCGAATGAAGAGCTCTGCCGTCTCTGGGTCAAATGCTGCGACTAACGTTCAACCGACTGCAGAACAAAGCTACGGAGTATGCAAGGAAACCGGATTGTTCACTTTACGGTGAAGACAGCGGCCAAAATACTTACTAGCATGAATGCATTCAAGGCAGCAGCCTCTTCTAATATATTCGTTTCTCTTTTGCTTTGTCACATCACGAAAAGCCAATCAAGTTACCTTCTCCGCCAAACTTCTCAGATTCAAGTTCATTACATCCTAGCCGAAGGCGAAACGGGTATATCATATTTTTTACTCAAGCATGGAACAGGAATGCAATTTTTACCCAAATTACAATCCCCCATGTAAATGCACGGTATTCAAAAGTCGTCAGCATTTTACTGTGGCGTCCATTCTGGTTTCATCTCTCTGCGAGTCTCACATCTGTGTCTTGAAACCAGTTTCGAGTTTTCTCTCACGAGCTGCCTAAACAAGCATTACAATACAATATTCCTCTAGATAATTGAATAATTGTTATTAACAAGATTACCTATTGATTTATATATTTCAAGTCCGTCTAAAATTAACCAATTTACAGGGTATCTAGTGTTCGATAAGTGTTCTCTTCTGAATTAAGCAGGAATTTTTCAAGCTTAAAGCCAAATAAAAACTATTTTAATGCCCATTCAGCCCAATTATAATAATAGCATGTCTAAAACTTTCACTACGGTATTTTGGTTTTGTTTTTGATTCCATTTATTGTTATTCAAATAGTCAAACACATTTAACCGTAAATAATGTTTCATGAAATAATACTGTTATACTCAAGAAATAAATATACCCACTGATAAGAAATTTTGGACGTGACTTGCTGAGATGATATATTAAAGGTTTACCCCTTAGCTAAAGCTGAGCTCCTGATAATAAATATGCAAATGGAATTTTGGACATTCACTAGCTCGCTTGTAATTGTATATGTTTTGAGTAATTAGAGTTAATTAGATGTAACATTATTTGAAAAACATAAATACATTGAGTGGACATAAATTCACGTTTCCTCCTTTTTGGTATCAGTTTCTTCTGGTATGTTTCTGTCCATGTCTCTTTGCGGCGAGCTGTTGCCAAGAACAATAACAATTTTTGTTGTGTTTAGCAAAGAGCAGTCCGGCATTCCATTCTTAAAGAAAAATATGAAAAATAATTAAATAATAAAATAGATTCTGTTTACTTACAGCAGACACACGGCTAAAGCGAGTGCTACCACGCAGATTGGGGGTAGCGCTACTGGCCCTTCGAAAACTGGATTCATCTCTTATAAAACTCGACTGATCTCTGGCAAATCCGCTATTGTAATAGGCCCCAACCTTTTTGCCACAGAGTATCTCCTTAAACGCACTGCGGTAGCGCTGTGACATGACATTGTACACGATCGGATTAATTGTGCTAATGAGAAATAATGGAAAAATGATTAAAGTTAGGGTAATATTAGATTAAACTAGGTCACCCACCATGAAACATAGTACGCGAATCCCGCTATGGAGAAAAGCCATTCATTTACATCTTGATAATTGGCAATGTTTTTGGCGTACAGAAACCACAATCTTTGCAGGTGAAATGGAAACCAGCATACGAAAAATGTGATAACCACGGCGGCTAATTTAAGGTAATCATTTTAAGTATATAATATAAATCGAAAAAATAATTTGCAATGCTCACCTAACATTCGTATAACAGCCCTCTTTTTCTTCTGTGAACTGCGCGATTCGCGATTCCTTGAACCCTGCTGAACTCCTGCAAGAAAAAATGGTATATTCGCGAACTCTTTCCAGCTGGAAGTTTATAAGCCTTACCCAATTTGTCGGTGGCTCTGGATCGGATTTGAGCGCCCATGCGACCATATAACAATATAATGAGTATCATGGGAATAATGAAAAATATGCAAAAAGAGACTTCGAACAAAGGGAATTTTTCGGGAAACTCCAATTCGATTGAACAAAATGCAGACTCCGGTATCCGAGATCCATCTGTAAGTGATCAGCAATCGTTAAGGATTCCAATTAACATTGAACTTAAACCATACCGATTGGAAAATTCAAATATTGAATTTCAGTCTTGACACCGAATGGTATGGCACTTAGGAAACTTACAATCCAAAGGGCTGTAATGATCCTGAGTGCCCGCTGAAAGCCGGACATTGCACACACATGCAAGGGATGGCATATGGCCAGAAATCGCTCCATCGAGAAGGCAACAATTGTAAATACCGATACATATGTGCACCTGTTATATTGGGCTCTAGTTAAAATTGTACCTGCGCCAAGATTAAAATACTCACGCTTCCGACACAAATGCTCGCAACTTGCAAAATGGTAGACCAAATAAATATGGATACTGATGCCAGTAAAGGAATACTTCAGCCGGCAAACCTAATTTCATAATAATATCAACATTAAATTTGGTAAATAATTTATGAGCTCACCAACCTAAAAGTAAGTATAGCAAATCGGAGACAGCCAAACTAAATAGATAATAATTCGTTGCCGTGTGCATTGCCGAATGCCGAATTATTACCATGCAGACCAATACATTTCCCAGTACGCCAGTTATGAATATGCCACTAAAAATTATGCTTATCTATAAATAGTTTATATTTTTATCTATATTGCGTGTAACTACATTTATCAAAACTCACCAATAACGCCTTATGCAGCGGTAGGGTCTGTGGGCCAAGAATGAATTGAACAAACTCCATTGCTGTACAATTCATGTGAGGGCATCCATAGTCGTCCATTCCAGGCAGTTCCGATGCAGTCGCATCCGAAGTGGCCAAATGTGTATTCAAGTTCATATCCATACTCTTATTCATATTCATATTCATATTCATATTCACTGCCATCCAAGATTTTTCAGCCCTAACCGATCATTTATTTGCCAAATTGCTTTGACATTTAAAAAGGCTTTTTGCAAAGCAAATGCTTTGAGGCTTAATCAGATGGTTAAAATGCAAAGAAAGGATTCAGTAACATTTTAATACATTATTCGCTATAAAGACTGTAAATAATTAATTAAAATAAGTGAAAGCAAGATCAAATAAGAGCCACATTCCGAACATTTTAAACAGCTAAAGTATGAACTGTTCAGCTGATATGCCATAAAACTAAATCAGATTTGATCTATTAAAGAAGCAGCTAGTATATAAAATGACTATTCGATTTGTCCGGCATTTAAACGAAGCCTGACCCAGTAACCTATTTTGGCTCAGAACATATCCTACAGCATTACACAGGAGAATAAATGAACCCCTCTGCAAGGGCATACAAAAACAGTCGAAAAATATTCATAAAATAATTTGAAAACATATACTTTTCATTTTTAGTAGTTCTTCGAGAAACTGTGCGATTGGATTACCGACTAAATGAAATTGCGAATAAAAAATGGCAAGAACGGAAGAAATACGCCGTCGGGTTCGGTTGCAAGCACGTAAAACCGCAATTCCTAACTGAATCTGTTAGATGACCGCAGATTACTGTTCACACAAAATCATATCGAGATAAGAATGAACGGTTTGCAAATATGTACTTTTCTTCTTACTATGCGCCAAGGTGGGTAATTAATCTTTCAAAGTAAACTACATACCTACCCACACATATAAGCACACGAGGCGGGACAAAAGAACCGCTAAATAGGTATATTCAAATTAATAAAATATCTAATTTGAACATTTCCATAAGGAAAATGAGAAAGTGAATTTATCTATGCCACTTTGAAACAAACGACTTCCTTATAGGTGAGGGTTTCAAAAAAAAAGCTCTGCGTTATATTATTAAATAAGCAAGATTTTTGCTAGAACATTTATAAAATGTGCTTATCGATCAACTGGCGTGTCTTAATACGCATGCACAGAAATGCTTACGCTTTAAGTTAAAAGTGCAAATATATGAGTAGAAAAGTAAACAATATAATTGATTAGATAAAATTCATCTTATCCAAATAGCAGCAAAAAGATAAATTTAGCAACGCCCCTATCTCGCGACTCATAATGCAAATCACTTCATATATGTAAGGTAATACCGGTAAAATTCTTGAGGCTACAGGAAAACTTTATTATTGCAACAGTCGTATGCAGATTTTTCAATTTTTATAATATACATATGAGTTAAGCAAAGCAGACGTATATCAAGAAATAAATTGATCCTTAAAAGCGTTGAGTACCAATAAGCCAGTCCGAAATTCGGATTTAACAGTTTATTCGCCAAGTAACTTATATCGCAATAAGAATATCGATAGATATCGTATTAATATGATTCGTTACATTGGGATACTTATGAGAAATATCAGTAACCCCACTATCGTTCATCTCTAACTAGTGCTACTCTTGTGTAACAAATAGAACAAAAAATAGTCCAAAAGTATTGCTGAAACAAAATAATATAAAAGCCATGCAAATATGCAAGTGTGAATAGTGAGTTAAAACCAAGCGACAACAAGCAAGGCAGCTCAAATATTAGCATAAACAAAATGAAAAAACACCTATACAAAGACAAGTAAAATTATCGATAAATGACATTTGTTGGTGCGGGGACGGCTACATATGTGGCGGTATATTTTGTAAATTTGTTGTGAAATTTAATGAATGTGCCACTATTTTTATGTATTTTGCACAATTATTCTTCGCATATCGTTCAGTGAAACCGAGCTCTTCAAGTATGACCATGGTGCAGACGTCTAATCCGAGATTTCTATGCAACTAGCTTTGGTGGTTTTCCACGTCTATGACATCATAATTAGTGCGACTCGAGTAATTTTTATGTTGTGAAAACTAGCAGGATAAATAATGCAATTTGATAGTGCACAAGGATTTTCATTTTACAACTACTCAATTTGACATATGTGTGCACATACTCATGCACTTAAATATTTATTTGCATGTGTAGGTGAGTACACCATTAAGTACTCACGTATAAACGTGTGTCACTGTGCGATCGGATCAAAAAAATAAAAGAAACAGAAGTCAGCAGAAGTAGGCGTAGTTTGGTGCAATTGGGATTTATGACTCATAATTAAGATACACCCCAAGAAACAAAAACCGACGGCTGGGCTGCATGACGGCTGTTTTGCAATCAAACAGCACAAAGTACATACATATGTTCAGAGACTGCCACATACAAACAGTGCATAGATATGTATGAGCTATGTATTTATATCAATGTATGTAGACATATGTATACCGTTTACATACATACGTATGTATGTTATTAGAGCACAGGCGCAGTGAAATATCAATAGTAATAAAAAACGTTCGATGCATAACATAACAAAAATGCACAACTTGAATAAACAATGTTTTCTTGCATCGGAATTGAGCCTGTAACGAGAGTAAAATCGATTATTAATCGGCTTTTGTTATTGCTGAAACAAATAATCAATTATCCACAATAAATCTATGTTACATAGGTACGTGTAAAACTTTTGTGTTTTTCGTGCAGATTCCACCTGGCCATTGGTTGTTGAAAATTTTACAAAATTGGACAAACCCTTTGCGACTTTGTACGACATAGAGAGGTCGTACCCACAAACAGTATTCGGAAGGAAAGCACCATCAGCGAAGATGGTACTACTTCCAGTACCACGCAACCTCAAAGGTGAGCTCTTGCTGCAAAACAATGTAGCATAGACATCATGAAATGACAGATTCTTTAAACAATATTACGGCAAATGTGCATACTTGATTAAAAATAGTTGATACATAGTTCAATTGTTGGTGCTGTAAATAAAAATTCGAAATCATTAACATATGAACACAAATTAGATTAATTGGATTTGCTCTCTTTGCAGAAATAACTCAGATATTTCTGGTGAGGAACAAACTGTGCAAGAAGCTAAAATCCAAAAACCGGGACAGTGTGCTTCTAATAAAACTGCCTCCCCAAGGAAAATCATTAGCCCGACTTGTAGATTAAAAAACACAGCACTGAAGAGCAAATATCGTCGCAAACAGGAATCACCTCCTGTACACATTAGTAGCACCAACACCAACACTCAGTTTCAGTTACATCAAACAGCACCAGCAGTGGAACCCATCACAGCCTCACCATTATCTCATAGTAAGAATAATATTTGGAATCGGTTACTGCGTCAGTTCTCAACTAGCGCCTTAGCTGGCAGGTCCGTCAACAGTAGGAGCTCAAGGCTGGAAGACGAAAACGAATCTACGAATATTAACTGCAATAAGGACGCGACCGTGACAGAAACCCAATTGTCCGTCGTTGAAGGACTTGGCCTGGAGGCAACGGATACTGCCGTTGCGGAACATAATGAGGAAACAATGGATGGTGAACCCCAGCCGTCAGATGCAGTCAAAAGCCCCAATTCTGGAGACGCTGGTGTAGTGTCCGCGGATAAAAGCAAAGACAAAGACATGCCAGCGAAGGCTGTTGTGTCCCCGTCCCCGTCCCCAGCTGCTGAGGCCAAACCAAAAAGGATGGAAAATCGAAAATCGTCGTCTGATACGGGGCTAGAGCCTGTGCTCAAGCAGCACGTCGGGACTGGGCCTCAATCAATGACCGGCCCAATACCTTTTAAGGCGCCACACAGCAAGGGGAGTAAAGCGGGCAAGGGGACAGACAACTATGTACGCTTTGTGCGAAAAAACGTCGAACAATCCAACAGAAATGCAAACCCCTTACAGTTTGAGGAACTGGAAACGGAGTTTCCTCGCGATTACGATGACAACATTGAGATGCTGTCGCGGGAAGCGGAGCATTTGGAGGAGCAATTCCGTACGCCGACCCGATCGAATACTACAGATGCTGCTAATCATCAAGTAGCTGGCATTATTGAGAACATCATTACCGAAGCGTCGCGCAATGTGAAGATCGAAAAGACTCAAGTTGATGTGCCATCCAAACCTGCCAATAAACAGACGACTGGTGTGAAGCGCGTTGGCTTCCAAGTTGAGGAAAAGCACGATAGTGAGGCGCTCCTTGGTGAAAGTCAACCAAAGGTTTTCGAGGATTTGTCCAAACAGTCTGAACGAGGGGAAGGAGTTTCTGGAGACGCAACCGTTGCTGGTACTGAAACATCGGTGTCATTGCAGCCATCATCAGCACATACCGCATCAGCTACCTCATCAGTCACGTCCCTAACGAAAGAGCGCAAGAGTGATGAGGATGATGATCCGGTTGCGATGTCACCATGTGGACGCTTCTTTAAATACGACAAAGAAGTCGGTCGTGGTTCCTTTAAAACTGTCTATCGCGGCTTGGACACACTTACCGGAGTGCCGGTTGCCTGGTGCGAATTGTTGGTAAGTCCAATTTGTTAATTTAATTTTAATTATTCCTTTCTAAATATCTTTTTAATTGCAGGATAAACAAGTGAAGAAGAGTGAACGCACTAGATTCCGGGAAGAGGCGGATATGTTGAAGAAATTGCAGCATCCAAACATTGTGCGATTTTATACATATTGGGAGTTTCCAATTGGACGCAAAAAAAACATAGTACTAGTCACCGAGTTAATGTTATCTGGTACTTTAAAGTCGTAAGTGGGATAATGAATCAATTGAGCTATTTACCCGTATTGATCGAATTTTTTTGAAGGTATTTAAAACGATTCAAAAAAATACACCCAAAGGTATTGAAGTCATGGTGTCGTCAGATCTTAAAAGGTCTAAACTTCCTGCATACTCGTCAATTTCCTATAATTCATCGTGATTTGAAATGTGATAATATTTTTATAACTGGCACCACTGGTAGTGTGAAAATCGGTGACTTGGGACTGGCAACTTTAAAGAATCGGTCCCATGCTAAATCTGTGATTGGTACACCTGAATTTATGGCACCCGAGATGTACGAGGAGCACTATGATGAATCGGTTGACGTGTATGCCTTTGGCATGTGCATGTTGGAAATGGCCATATCCGAATATCCTTACAGCGAGTGCAAAGGCCCCGCCCAGATATACAAGAAGGTGATATCCGGTATAAAACCAGCTGCCCTCTCAAAGGTAGAGGATCCCAATGTGCGCGATATCATTGAGCGCTGTATTGAGCTGAAAAAAGAGGATCGTCCCAGATGCAACGAGCTGCTGGAGTCTGAATTTTTTGATGAGGACATTGGGATACGTGTGGAACCCGCCGCCTCGGAACAGTTCCTCTCAGATCCCAGCATCAACATCATTGAGTTTCGTCTGCGATTTATGGACCCAAAGAAGCGCTCATCTCGCCACAAGGAAAACGAAGCCATTCAGTTCGAGTACAACATACAGCACGATGAGTATGAGCAAATTGCCCAGGACATGATGAAAGAGAATATCATTTCGGAAGATGATTCTCGTGCTGTTGCGCGCCTTCTAAAGGTGCAGGTGGTGTCGCTGCTTAAGGAACGTGCTCAGCGCCAAACACAAATTAAGCTACAGAACGAAAAGTCACGTTTGGAAAAGCTGGCCCTGCAAAAGCAACGCGAAAGTTTGCCAACCAACGTTGAAGAGGAGGACG